GAGACTGGGGCTCTGGGGCTGTATTATTTTATATGTGTGTTTGTGTGGGGGGTATATTATTTTATTTGTGCAGGGGTAGTATTTTTATATGTGCATGGGGAGAGTAGGAGTGTATTAGGCTCCATTCACACCTGTACGTTTAGGTGCAATTAGGGATTCGTGCATCAGGAAATTGTGTTTTCCTGCAGCAGGAATGCGAATCTGGCGTTTACAAGCAGCAGCTATCACCCGTTTAAGTTAATGATCAGATGACAGCCGCTGCATGTAAACACCTGCACACCACATGTACTGGTATGTGATATGATTACATGCGGTTGGAAAACACTCTCCCTGAATACAAAATCAATGCGTCCAGGGAGAGTGATTAATTCCTAACCTTATGTGATCATATCACTTATCATTACATGCGGTGTGCAGGAGTTTACATGCAGCAGCTGTCACCTGATCATTAACTTGAATAGGTGACAGCTGACGCTTGTAAACACCGGATTAGGCATTCCTGCGGCTCGAAAGCGCAAGTTCCAGATGCAGGAATCCCTAAACGCACCTAAACCTACAGATATGAATGGGGCCCTATTGTGTGTGGATTAGTGTCCGTAGTACCAAACCGCATATAGTTAAAAAAGGACCTCCTTCCTCCTGCTGGGGACCCCTCTAGTGATAATAAAGATCTATATAGAGGAATCAGGACCTCCTTCCTCCTGCTGGGGATCCCTCTAGTGATAATAAAGATCTATATAGAGGAATCAGGACCTCCTTCCTCCTGCTGGGGATCCCTCTAGTGATAATAAAGATCTATATAGAGGAATCAGGACCTCCTTCCTCCTGCTGGGGATCCCTCTAGTGATAATAAAGATCTATATAGAGGAATCAGGACCTCCTTCCTCCTGCTGGGGATCCCTCTAGTGATAATAAAGATCTATATAGAGGAATCAGGACCTCCTTCCTCCTGCTGGGGATCCCTCTAGTGATAATAAAGATCTATATAGAGGAATCAGGACCTCCTTCCTCCTGCTGGGGATCCCTCTAGTGATAATAAAGATCTATATAGAGGAATCAGGACCTCCTTCCTCCTGCTGGGGATCCCTCTAGTGATAATAAAGATCTATATAGAGGAATCAGGACCTCCTTCCTCCTGCTGGGGATCCCTCTAGTGATAATAAAGATCTATATAGAGGAATCAGGACCTCCTTCCTCCTGCTGGGGATCCCTCTAGTGATAATAAAGATCTATATAGAGGAATCAGGACCTCCTTCCTCCTGCTGGGGATCCCTCTAGTGATAATAAAGATCTATATAGAGGAATCAGGACCTCCTTCCTCCTGCTGGGGATCCCTCTAGTGATAATAAAGATCTATATAGAGGAATCAGGACCTCCTTCCTCCTGCTGGGGATCCCTCTAGTGATAATAAAGATCTATATAGAGGAATCAGGACCTCCTTCCTCCTGCTGGGGATCCCTCTAGTGATAATAAAGATCTATATAGAGGAATCAGGACCTCCTTCCTCCTGCTGGGGATCCCTCTAGTGATAATAAAGATCTATATAGAGGAATCAGGACCTCCTTCCTCCTGCTGGGGATCCCTCTAGTGATAATAAAGATCTATATAGAGGAATCAGGACCTCCTTCCTCCTGCTGGGGATCCCTCTAGTGATAATAAAGATCTATATAGAGGAATCAGGACCTCCTTCCTCCTGCTGGGGATCCCTCTAGTGATAATAAAGATCTATATAGAGGAATCAGGACCTCCTTCCTCCTGCTGGGGATCCCTCTAGTGATAATAAAGATCTATATAGAGGAATCAGGACCTCCTTCCTCCTGCTGGGGATCCCTCTAGTGATAATAAAGATCTATATAGAGGAATCAGGACCTCCTTCCTCCTGCTGGGGATCCCTCTAGTGATAATAAAGATCTATATAGAGGAATCAGGACCTCCTTCCTCCTGCTGGGGATCCCTCTAGTGATAATAAAGATCTATATAGAGGAATCAGGACCTCCTTCCTCCTGCTGGGGATCCCTCTAGTGATAATAAAGATCTATATAGAGGAATCAGGACCTCCTTCCTCCTGCTGGGGATCCCTCTAGTGATAATAAAGATCTATATAGAGGAATCAGGACCTCCTTCCTCCTGCTGGGGATCCCTCTAGTGATAATAAAGATCTATATAGAGGAATCAGGACCTCCTTCCTCCTGCTGGGGATCCCTCTAGTGATAATAAAGATCTATATAGAGGAATCAGGACCTCCTTCCTCCTGCTGGGGATCCCTCTAGTGATAATAAAGATCTATATAGAGGAATCAGGACCTCCTTCCTCCTGCTGGGGATCCCTCTAGTGATAATAAAGATCTATATAGAGGAATCAGGACCTCCTTCCTCCTGCTGGGGATCCCTCTAGTGATAATAAAGATCTATATAGAGGAATCAGGACCTCCTTCCTCCTGCTGGGGATCCCTCTAGTGATAATAAAGATCTATATAGAGGAATCAGGACCTCCTTCCTCCTGCTGGGGATCCCTCTAGTGATAATAAAGATCTATATAGAGGAATCAGGACCTCCTTCCTCCTGCTGGGGATCCCTCTAGTGATAATAAAGATCTATATAGAGGAATCAGGACCTCCTTCCTCCTGCTGGGGATCCCTCTAGTGATAATAAAGATCTATATAGAGGAATCAGGACCTCCTTCCTCCTGCTGGGGATCCCTCTAGTGATAATAAAGATCTATATAGAGGAATCAGGACCTCCTTCCTCCTGCTGGGGATCCCTCTAGTGATAATAAAGATCTATATAGAGGAATCAGGACCTCCTTCCTCCTGCTGGGGATCCCTCTAGTGATAATAAAGATCTATATAGAGGAATCAGGACCTCCTTCCTCCTGCTGGGGATCCCTCTAGTGATAATAAAGATCTATATAGAGGAATCAGGACCTCCTTCCTCCTGCTGGGGATCCCTCTAGTGATAATAAAGATCTATATAGAGGAATCAGGACCTCCTTCCTCCTGCTGGGGATCCCTCTAGTGATAATAAAGATCTATATAGAGGAATCAGGACCTCCTTCCTCCTGCTGGGGATCCCTCTAGTGATAATAAAGATCTATATAGAGGAATCAGGACCTCCTTCCTCCTGCTGGGGATCCCTCTAGTGATAATAAAGATCTATATAGAGGAATCAGGACCTCCTTCCTCCTGCTGGGGATCCCTCTAGTGATAATAAAGATCTATATAGAGGAATCAGGACCTCCTTCCTCCTGCTGGGGATCCCTCTAGTGATAATAAAGATCTATATAGAGGAATCAGGACCTCCTTCCTCCTGCTGGGGATCCCTCTAGTGATAATAAAGATCTATATAGAGGAATCAGGACCTCCTTCCTCCTGCTGGGGATCCCTCTAGTGATAATAAAGATCTATATAGAGGAATCAGGACCTCCTTCCTCCTGCTGGGGATCCCTCTAGTGATAATAAAGATCTATATAGAGGAATCAGGACCTCCTTCCTCCTGCTGGGGATCCCTCTAGTGATAATAAAGATCTATATAGAGGAATCAGGACCTCCTTCCTCCTGCTGGGGATCCCTCTAGTGATAATAAAGATCTATATAGAGGAATCAGGACCTCCTTCCTCCTGCTGGGGATCCCTCTAGTGATAATAAAGATCTATATAGAGGAATCAGGACCTCCTTCCTCCTGCTGGGGATCCCTCTAGTGATAATAAAGATCTATATAGAGGAATCAGGACCTCCTTCCTCCTGCTGGGGATCCCTCTAGTGATAATAAAGATCTATATAGAGGAATCAGGACCTCCTTCCTCCTGCTGGGGATCCCTCTAGTGATAATAAAGATCTATATAGAGGAATCAGGACCTCCTTCCTCCTGCTGGGGATCCCTCTAGTGATAATAAAGATCTATATAGAGGAATCAGGACCTCCTTCCTCCTGCTGGGGATCCCTCTAGTGATAATAAAGATCTATATAGAGGAATCAGGACCTCCTTCCTCC